GGAGCACCTCTTTAGTTAACACTGTTGCCCTACAAGCAGCTTAAGCAACTCACTGAAAAGTAGTAAGCTCAGGAGGGGGAGGATGAGAAGGAGATGATACTTTACAATTTTGGAGAGCCAAATTACATAGTTCTGCAATGCTTTGAGATGCTGGTACTTCTCAAACACATTCATAGTATTGGTAGTGTTATGGGTGGATCCATGTGCACAACTACTGTTAGCAAAATTGTGATTTAACATACTTTTGAATGTCTGAGTACACTGCAGGAAATTTCAAAGACAGATTTTATCCCAAGATGGCTATGCAACCATTGCCACACAGCTGCTCCTCTGCCTGCAAGCTCAGAACAGCCTTCTGCTGTTTCCAGCTCAGTGCGATGTTCAGAAGACTTCCTCTGGCTGTCACACACAGGTTCTTGCAGCTGGTCTGCAGCAACCTATTATCTCAGGCAGACAAATGACAGTGAGAGGAACAGAACTAAATTTCACCTGGAAATTCTGCAAACAACTTATGTGTTTTCTAAGGTTAATAGGTTTTTGTAGCAGTTGTGATAGAAAACAGCTTGGATTGGATCTGCAGAGGTCAGATGGGATGGAGAGACATGTCAAACCATACTCTCCATCCCACATGCCTGGGAGTGATTTTAGCCTCCAGTCACATCACCACCACTCAGATGCTTTGATGGGAACATGTATCCTATTAACACTTGTCCCCCCAGTACTCTGCTCCCAGCCTAATGGTTATACCAACTGTTTGCCCATCCAGAGCTGAAGGAGGCAGATATAATTGATTTCCCTGTCAAAGGTAGCCTTCATCAGGGGCACGCCTGGTGAAAGTGGCAAATTTGGATAGATCTAACACATCTGACCAAGTGCTCCCTTCTAGGTACCCATGACCCCCTCTTGGAGATGTGGGCTCAGAGAACTTCCTGATGCTAAGTAGCAAAAAGGGCCCATTTCAACTTGACATGTGCAACCTGTTCTCCTGGTGAGACCTGCTGAGATTTATAGGCAGAAGGCAGATCAGACAGTAACCCTTATCTGCTAGGTCCAAATCGCATATACTACCTGATAATAAGGAAGAGCCAATCATGCTGCTCTTTTTTGAAGGTGTTAAAATAGCCTGGAGCACATGATTATAGCCACTGAACCTCCTCCAAAAGCAGCTACAATAAAGAGAAATATGGAACATGTGGGAAATATTTTCTTTCAGGAAGTCTGAGGTTTATACAATGTATGGCTGTTTAGCAGAAACTATACCTAGGGAATCAAGTAGTCTGCAACCAGCCTTCTCTGTCCCCAAGGGGCCTTTATGCAGTCCAAGCGAGGTTTTCTTCTTGGGGAGAGATGATTTCATGCTAGACATTCTTCAGAAGAGCCTATCGTCACTGGAATAGGTTCCTGCTGTGACACAGCACTTCCTCTCTTGTGTTCAAGGTACAATGTCAGCAGCACTGATTTGTTAACCTCTGAGGAGATTAGCCTAATGGCCAATGCAGTGGTAAACTTATTTGTATACAGAATAGTGTAGGTATTATGAGAATTCACTGGTAGGAGAATCAGCTAAAATTTCTGTGTGGTCTGCTAATGTTGAAAATGAGTTAGTGCTTTAGAGATTTTGAATGGTATTTTTATTAGGATAAATTAAAATTATAAATATCAATTGCACTTAAAATTATATTAACAGAGTGTACCAATTCTTGGAGATTCGTAGGGAAAAAAAAGCAAATTTGAGCAACTCTAGGACAATCTGGTTCTTGTTTATGAAGGCATGTTCAACTCCTATGCTTTAAATTTTCATTGTGATGATTTTGCACAAGATCAAACAATATAGTCCATTCAATTTTTCTTTAAAATTATCTCATTCCTTGGAAACAGAACAGAAAGAGAAGCAGCAGTAACGCTGATGTTAGTGCTTTTCTCTTTGACTTGATCTCTGTAAATGTCAGCAAGCACAATAAAGAATTACGAATGCACATGAAACTGTGAAAGAGAGGCCTCAAGCACAGTGTCTTAGCATTTTCCAAGGAAACTCTAAGCAGGTGTATCTAGTGGGTTTCTGACTTGCAGCCATTCTCTTCTCTTTTCGTTTTTGATAAGTGCTAGGGGAAAAAAAGATCTGGAAAATCAAAGGCAAAAAGATATTCTGTGAAGTGGCAATGTCTAAAAGTCTGGTGTGGTAAATGTTCAGAGTTTGGAGCTCCCTTTGAAGTGGCATGGAATGCACATGATACCTGCTTATTCATTTAGCCACTGATAAGATCCTAATTAGCACAGCTCTCAGACACCTCTCATATAGTGAAGTATAGAAATAACCATGGGTTTTACTTCCTTCCTTCACGGCTGTAAGAGAAAGAGCTTTCAAGGGTTTTGCTTTTTACCACTGTGTGCATTTGGTGTACTTGTAAATACCTCACTAAGTAAAAAAAAAAAATAAAATCAACAGTCACAAAAGAAACCCTGTTTTTATTCCTGGGAAGTGATGGATTCAGCAGTCATCTGAGTCATGTGAGGGAACTTCTGTGGTTTTAGGTCAAGCTCCACTTACAAACTCTGGCCTGCAGGTTAACACTCTCCTTGGTTCAGTGCAACATAACTGGCAGAGTGAGTCACGATTGCTTCTCCTTCCAGGATCGGGCCATCAGATCCTTAAATCCTAAAAATTACTTCAATGGAAATGTTTCAGTGCACAAGAGAAGTGCCTCTTGAAAGAAAAAATGCAGGATCAGGCCCTTCAATTTTAAAAAATGACATTTAATATGGACAGACAAAGACACTAGAGAAGAACACAGTGACTCTCTGTACACCTGGAGGAGGGGTAGTAGTACAAAACAAGCTTTTCTTTAACCACAACGGCAATCTTCTAACAGCAGTACCCACTCAAAAGCATAGAACTCAGAGGCTGATAATCATCTTTCAGTTCAGGTTATTGCATGCAATTTTTCACATTCATTCAGTTTTCTTCATACAGCTCTTAGTAAAGTAACTCCCTTAACAATAAAAGCTTTTATGGAAGCCCATTACACAGGGGAACTAACCACTCCTAGTTTTTTTATTGGCTTCTTGGAATATTTATAGCAGTCTTTGTTCTCTTTGCAAGTTTATGCATTTGGGTGTGTATAGAGATTTTTTTTTTTTATTTTTTTTTACTTTGGCAATTGGGTATGACAGCAAAGTACATATATTTTTACATCTGTAAGGTTTTAAAATTTCATGTTTTTTTTCTTCTGTATATTATTATTGGCATCAAAGCCAACACTCAGCCTGGTCCTCATTGTTTAGCACTTGCATATTCAATACTGGAGAACTTTCATTTCAAGTTGCTTGACATAAAACTCTATTTGCCACCATGCTACCACTTCCTGATAAACTAGTTACACTGTATACACAGAGAAATTATGATATTTGACTCCATGCTAACAAATCAAAGAATTTGCTTGGTAAGTAAAGGAACAGATTAAATTTCTACTTCAATAACTTGACAGAAGAATCTCACATTAATACAATAGATTGGCATTCTTGTAGGAATCACCTCAGAAGTAACTGAAACTACCACAATGACTAATTTCTGCATAGCATTTTGAACCCAAAATGATCCTAAAACTTTTGATACAGCTTTCATACGAGAAAAAAACGGTCCCAAACAAGAATATGTCTTTGAATACTTCTATCCTGGTTTTTAAAGTTTTTCACTTAATTTTGTATTCTATCTTTCTTAAACAACAACCTTTTGTTGTTTACACCACCTTCATGAAACTCGAATATTTGAATCAATGAAGGAATTAAAGATATACAGATGACTTTTCTTTCTTTTCCAGTACAATTAAAGAAGAAATTGTACAAACCAGTCTGATGGAACTGTTGACATTTAAAAGGAGAATTCATTCCTCATTTCTCATTTACAGTTTGAAAAATAATTGTTGTACTAAGAGCTAAAGCAATGCAAATAATAAATAACAATAGTAATCATCTACTAAACACCTTCTTGAATTATACACATACTTACAAATTAAATAATAAATAATTGAAAGGATACCTTTCTTTTTGATCATAAAGACTGGAAAGTTATGCATTATTAAAGAAAAATAAAGATAGAAATTGCTGATATGAAGTGAGATTTTTATAGTATCCTTAATAAATACGAGAGTAAAATAATAAATATATTTTCCATGGTATGTTTCACACAGACATATTTTCCTGGAGACTTGCTGCTGCTGAACTGCTACTAGGTAGGTAGAATCTTAATTTTCAGTAATAATATCAAACAAGTTATTTGAACCTTGGTAACATACAAACTACATTTTACTGTGTTGACCTGGGGAAGCTTCTTTTAATGGCTTTATTAGGTGGGTATATACTCCCTACTCTGGGGCTATAAAAATACCTCATTCGACTGTAGAGCCTGGTGGGATTTTTATAGGTGAAGAGTGATTGTGTTGCTATCACTAAATTCAGATTTAGGAAGGCCCCACAGGGGCAGTCCTCGTCCCACCTACAAATGAATGTTTCAGGCCATTTCTTGACCCGTCCTCTTCCTCATGTCTCCTATTTCCTGGGAAAGAACCTTTTAAGTGACAGTCTTTATCTTCTACAACACCAGGGATGGCCACACTCTGTGCTGGCTCTGTGGACTCGTGGGTCAGGTCCAGTGGGTGCTTCCTGGCATGGGTCTTAGTATGGGGAAAGACCTCACGTGACAACCTGAGCTAGTCCCACTATTTGCAAAGAGATGGAGTACAAAGCAAATGGAGTCAGCAAGGACCAAGCACCTTCACTGGCCTACTCCACCTTCCAGAAGGTCATAGTTCCTGTGGAAAGCTTTTCATCCCTGTTTCGAGACACAAGTCACTTAGGCTTCAACCAAGTCCTATCATCACAAGACAGTGGCTGCCACTCAGCTGTATGAAAGGGTGTAGAGTAGAAGTAGTTTTGGTGATGTAAGTCACCTCTGTGGTGACTCACCTCCTCACCTCATGTTTTGCTTGCAAAACACTATTGACTTCTGTCTTCAAGACCATTGGAGCACCTGACATACTGCATCTGTTTCACCATGTCTAACTGGAGAGAAAAAGTGCAGTGTGTGAAAAGAAAAGCCCTGACAACCCCACAGTAACCTCTCCCATAGGCTCGAATCTTGTCCCTGCTCTCCTCCAGTGAACACAGGAGACCACACACCATTGTAGAGAGAGACGACAGACCTTGCTGGCAGCAATCTGCCAATTATGTCTTACAGGAGCCTGTTAATGAGACACACTGCATATGAGGAGTCAGGACCCATGTGAAGTAATAAGAAAGATATCAGCAAGATGTAGCTGATACTGGGGAAAACAGAAAGTAGAGAGCATGACCAGTTGTTTCTTCTTTGGACAGAATACGATGTCAGATCCTTCGTCTTTTTTTTAAGGTCTTTAACAAGTCAATCTCCAGCTGTGCTTGTCCAGGACAATGCAGATCAGAGCACAAGATGAAACACTTTTGCAAGACTGCAAGACAAAATGCTGATAAGTTACGGGGTGACTTTCAGTGAAGATGAGAGGGTGGAGACTTACCACCACAATTTAAACAGGGAATGATGGTGAAAAATCAGACAAATTGGCTTTGGGAAGATCAATTGGCCACCCTTAACCCAAAAACATACCTTTTCACCAGTCTGAAAGAACCATATAAACAATACCTTAGTTTAGATATCAGTATACAGATTAACTACAGGCATTTTCATGCTGCCATAGTACTACTCTTTATGTATTCAGCCAAACATTTCTAAAAGGATTGTAACTCCTCCTTTTTTGAATTCAAATTCCTAGTTCAGACTGCTAATGCAGAGTAAAATTCAATAAGCTTTGCAAACTGCTTAAAATTGTACTTTAAATATTATTTAGACATATTTGTAGGCTTATGCAGAAGTCAATGAAAACAATAGCAAAACACTATTTTGTTCCTTCAAACATTTTTTATTTTCATCATGCCATTGCATTTTTTTGATTGAAGTGAAACACAGAGACATGTTTAAAGGGAGCATAATTGGACCTGTTTGAAATTATTTCTCTGAGACTTGAAAGAAAGAAAAGCCATGGAATGCATCAGAAGTCAGAGTTAGAAGACAGGGAACACACAATCTTTCAAGTTTTTAAAATGCAAGGCATAAATAGTGTTTGTTTTCTGGTAAATAGCAATCATATGCATAAAATGGGAATGAGCTCTAGAAATAAATAAATAAGAGAAAGTCTATTCAACTGAAATCCTAGGAACTTTAATGTTGTGGAACACTGTTGGACTGCTTCAGTTTTGCAAGTGCTTTATCTGGGCTGAAAGGTGAAATTAGCAGCTTTCTCAAAACCCTGGGAAGCTATTGTGTCAATGCTACATGCTGGAGACCACTGATGCCAGTGCCACTGGTTTAGATGAGCTCTGCAATCAGGAGTATTAAAAGTGAGTTGGTGAATTGTGTTGCATGAAGCGCTTATAGACAAAAGAGCTGAATGGGGTTTTATAGACATCTATAGGAATATAATGAAGTCAAACACGCCAAATGAAGCAGCTGAATTCAACAACATTAAAGTAACCAAGCTAGAAAATAAACTGGGGAGAGAGGCAAGATGAGTGGAATATATCTGAATAAAAGAAAAAATTAATAAAATTAATTGTAAAATTCAGAAACAGCTGGACTACTCCCTGAAGTATTACTACTCTTAGGAATAATGTCATTGAGCATGTCTCTGAGAAGTTTTCTCTACTTTAACATGGCACACAGTTTGGTTTTTAATTTGTCAAGATATTACTTTAATTTGTGGAGGACATTACCTCATTTTATCAGTAATTTACCCCCTAAATTCCTTCTTTCCTTCCTTCCTTCCTTCCTTCCTTCCTTCCTTCCTTCCTTCCTTTCTTTTCTCAGCAAAGTATCTTCAGAAAATTTACAATTTTTTGAATTATAATTGAACCAACCTGTAGTCTTTGTTACATTTATGTCAGTCTAAAGTGACATAAGGTAGTTGTTCTGTTTTTCATATAATCTAAAACTTTTTTTTCTGTCTCAGCAGAAAAGCTGAAAGCATTCTGTAAAGAGAGTTGAAAAATCTGTGCTGGAATAATTATATTTTTACTCCTATGCATATGCATACAGCTATCATATTCTAAAGATCATTATCAGAAATGATGAGAAATAAAATAATCTTCCTGCTATGTGATGAAGTTTGTGAGAATATCCCTAGACAATTCATTAGTTTTAAACTGACAAGAAAATCAATTAATTTTAATAGGGAATAACAGATTATGTGTTTAATAATTCATCTAATTTCATGAGGCAAAGTGAATTAGACAATGCAATGTAAATCTAATAGCAGTTGTAACCACATAATTTGACTGTTTGTCAAGAGCAAAGCATAGTGAAACGATCAAGAATTACACAGAGAGAAAAACATTAATTGTGTGTAAACTGAGTGACAGATTCTTGTAACCCTAGAAGCCTGTGAGTTCAGTGTAATTATTTCTATTAGATCTTTCCCTAAAGTAGTTCTGTATCATTAATTATGTATTCATATTAAGTAGATAAATTAATATATAATACAAAATAACTTTTCTGTGATTTTTTTCAAATCAGGGATGCTATTGAATTGCCAGAGATTTTATAGAGTGAAACTATGTAAAAAGTGTTTTATAGTCTGCATTAATTAATCAATAATGGCCCTGAGAGCTGGCATTTCTGCCTATTAATGACCAGCTGAAAGAGTTGAGGACCCGACCTTAAGCAGAGGTCCCTTAACCTGTGCGGTCATTGACATTGAAGAAATGCTCTACCCCCAGGTCACTGTTGCTGTTAATCAAAGCCATGATAATTGTTATGGTTATTTTTCATGCACACAGAGCAGACGTGCTTTCCATCTGAGTGGTATTTATTTCAGATTAAGGAAAGAAGCAAACCAGGAAAAACCAAAAGTGAGGCCTTGCCAAGCGAAGTGGCTGCTATGGGTGGCTGTGCCCTATGGACATAGCGTGCAGCACCAGCAAGGAGGTCGTGGCCATCTCAGCTGATGTGTCACAGGCCACATGATCATGTCAAAGTACAAATAATATATAAGGAGATTGCCCTTTTGTACGTTTGAAGATACAGACATTGAAATATGAGTTGCCATGGATACAGGTCCATCTTTAAAGCAATGGCCTCTTTTAGTTAGTAATGACACTGTAGTAACCTATAGAATCAAGGAATCTTCTCTGCACTAATATGAAAAAAATATAAAAACACGTCATAAAATCTCAAAGTGCTTCTGTTTTTCACAACAAAATACAGAGGAATCAAGGCCAGGTTGAATGGGGTTTTGAGTAAACTGTTCTAGTGAATGGTGTCTCTGTCTGTGGCAGGGGAGTTGGCAATAGATGATCTTTAACCTCCCTTCCAACCCAAACCATCCTTTGATTCTATGAATCACAACTGTGTAGGTGACTCTTCTTGTTTATAGTCTGAAGAAGAAGCCTTGTTAGTGTAATTAAAGCCAGATATTGTGGTATGGCCTATAGCACATGTGCTCCCATCCCTTTCTCCTTCGGCAGCAGTGGGATTTGAGATGCACAGGCCAAGACAGGAGATAAAGAAGATGGCAGAGCAGAGTGTGAAAATTAATCAGCCATCTATGCCAAAGAGATGGAAGATATCAATTCTCCACGTGGTCTACCAAAGGCAGCAAAAAACATCACCTCATCTTTGAGAAGCAACAGTAGTTTTGGTACACTGAAGAGAAATATGGAAGAAGCAGGTTCTGGACATCATCCTGGAATTAGTTCCGTCCAGGGCTAAGAGGGCTTCCTAGAAGTTCCTGAGCAAGACGAGATACCATCTCTTGTGAGTCCTCTCTTCTGTACTTTTCTCATCCCAGAAACACCGCCTACTGCCTGTGCAGGAAAGAGAGACATCGACACTGTAGTTGGTTCTTGAGAGACGTACACTGCCACAAAACCTTCCTTTTATACCTTCAATTAAGATAAGAAAGAAAGCTTTAAGTAGCTGGTTGACTTCGATCTGGAGAAAGGAGAGAAAAAGAAACAAAACAGGAGCCTCCTTGGTTGCACATGCCCCACAGAATGCTCTTTTTGGGGTCTCAATCCTATTAGTTGTATAGGAAGAAGCCCAACACAAGGTCGAAATAGGAAAGAGATACATACACAGGCTGAACAAAGAAAGGAAAAAAAGATGTCACGAGGAGAAAACAGATCATCATCAAACTGGATAATGTATTGCTCTTCTCTAGCAGACCTGCCTTTTTTCCCCGCCATCTGCCAAAGAGCCTAGGGGAACTGAGTGCTTCTGAACTTCACTCAAAGGCTCATCAATATGTGTGTGCAGATTCAGTGCAATTTCTTGCATGACACTGCTTAAAAGTGTACCTAGGTGGAGTAACTCTAGGCTGGCCAGAGAATTTCCATGGTAGTTGTAATGAAATATAAGTTTCACCAAAACTTTAATATCTGGCTCTCAAATTTATTTTGATACTCCTGGCACATCCATTAACTCTAATATGCTTACCAACCAACTGATGTTTTTGTTCAAGAAAGTTCCTTCACTCAGTGACCACAGCTATGAAAACTTTAAGAATTTGTAAGACTTTCAGCACTAGTCTGCTGTATTTGAAGAGTATCCTGGTCGATACAAAGAACTAATTTTCTATTTACATAACTAGGAATTCTGGGAGACGTCAATAAAAACTAGCATTAGCAAAAAAGTACAGGAATACAAATGTGTTCTTAAAAAGTTTCTGCCTCTGATCACTCCTACTGTTTTTGAAAGTAAATGCTATTTACTGATCTGTCAAGTAACGCAGTGAGCTAACGAAAAATACATGTGTTCAGACTATGTCTGGCACCGTCTCAGAAACAATTTGTCTTAGCTAACTGAATGCACCTAAGCAACTTGGTTATTAAGTGTTTGGCATTTGCATGCATAAGGTATGCTTTCCCATGTCTGGTAGTAAAACACGAATTTGCTAGAAAGAAAATTGTTAATATTTAGGCTGACAGCGTTAAAAGGATGCATAAGAAATATGGAAAATAGAAATACTTTACATTTCAAGAAACCATAAATCTGAGCACAAATATTGTGATTAAAAAGAAAAAAAAAAGAAATAATTAGTATTTTGATTCAGCCCTTGCAGCTTTTATACCTTTAATCATTGTACAACCTGGAACTACGGTACATACAGAAAATCTGAACAAATTTTCTAAAAGTCCTTAAGGAATTTAAAGTAAATGCTTAAACAAACCTCTCACTACTGGCATGCAACAAATGCCCAGATGTATTCTTATTGATGCGCCTAATTAAGTTTAGAAGAATTGCATGAGTTCGGCTTCAGCAGATTCTTATCGATTCTCCTAGTTAATAAACAGTTAAAGGATGAAGTGAGTTTTTAAAAAATATAAGTGCTTTAAAGGTGCTAGAGAGGAAAAGCATAGTACTAAGTGGTCATGTGGCTAGTGCCATTCATCTTGGTAGTGACTATCTGTCAAAAGTGGCAAGAGTCTCTGTTAACAGCCATGACCTGTGCTGTAATGAAGGGAGAGTGCACAGCAAAGTGTCCATTATGAGGCAGTTGGGAGCAGTAAATTGGTGCAGTTTGCCTCAATCTTGCAGCAAGTTGAGATGTAAGATAGGTGGGGATCAGCAAGCAGCAATTTTATCCTATGATCGTTTTTGTCAGATCACATCAGAGTAGGAACTTACTCAGATTCATGATTTCAATTAAATAAGTCCCCTCATTAAGTGACTGCTGCCACGAATGTTTTCTGTGGTCCTGTATTTATAATTGTGTAAACACACCTGTTAATATTTGGACAGGGAGCAGTGATGGAGAAGCAGTAAGGTAAACTACATATTAAGGTGATAGTCAGGTACAATCAAATGAATCTTGCACCCTCGCAACAGGGCTAACAGCTTGCAATAAAATAGGCCACCTCTGATACCTATATACTAACCTACAGTGCTTACATCCTAGTTCTAACTAGGAAAATTCATTTCAGACTGTTTATGAAAAAACAAAATACACATGCACCTCTGTTCAATTCCATGTAAACAAATTGATGCTATTACCATTTTCCTGGGTAATAACCTCAAAAATCCAGGTGACACCGAATGTCTGTTCTTGGGTGCACTGAGACTAAAAAATTCTGGATGAACTCTGAAACTATTAGGCAGACTTAACCCTTAGGGATCCTCCAGTAAACTAGACAAGCAAACAAGAAAAATGTACTTGTCACCACCACTCATTCACTTCTTCACAGCAGCAAAACCTTTCAGATCAGCCCATCTGCTTTCCAGGTACTGGATGTATTTCTCTAATCACGTTGTTCCAATTCCTATTCCCATAACCTAAATAAGGAATATCAAAACTTCTGTAATTTCTGTAATTCTGTACAAGAATCTGCCAAATTCATCCTCTATTGTGAAACGTCTGCTTTCTCTGCCAGCTCCCAGCCACAGAGGTAGGTTGGATGGACAGAGATGTAAAGCTCGTGTGTGAATAGCATTATATTGCAAATGGCCAGAGTTTTACCCTGGGTAGTACCATTCCCCAAAGACTCACCTCATCACCTTCTACATATGAGTCAGTCCTATATAACTGAATAGAAAATAGTTTGGGTTTTTTTTTTTCCTAAGTGCATTAAATTAACTGATGGGTACCTTTTTCTCTCTCTTAGTCTACTCCAGCAGTGCAATATCCAGCTCTAAAAGAAGGACACAGCTTCTGCTGTATGTTGATAGAGACCAAAGGCAAATATGACCTTCTCTATTAGAAAAAGATTTTGCAACTTTTAAGACCTTACACTTATACTTTGCCTACCTCAGCAGGTTTTTGAGATTTGATAGGGTACCAGGGAAAATGTGCCTTGACTGTCCTTTTGTTGTCAGTTTGATGCAGTGTTACAGGGTTTACATCCTGTTGAAGTGCTTAACGCAGAATATACTTATATTATGTGCATATTCTGCACATATATGCACACATATAGAGAAAAAAACAATTCTTGAAACGTCACATTTGCATACAAACATCCATGTGATCTATCTAGAAACTATGACACCCTCAATAAATAAATGTCTGGTAAAGAAATTCAGCTTTGTGGTGGTTGTGCTTTTCACAGGATGGACATAGATGAGTATAAGATCTCGTCGTTTTGTAAAATCATGGCATTTTCAGCTTAAGAAACCTTGATCTCAGCAGCCCAAATAATGTTCTAACATAGTCAGCAGGGATGTGTGCAAAGGTGTATTGTACGTCTGCACCAGGGGGTTACTTTAACTCCTACAAAATCACCATTCTTGTGTAAGCAGAGGCAAAGCTGTCTCCCTTTCAGCTTGTGAACAGGCAGAGAGCACAGAATGGAATCAGGACAGAACCTAATTTGATAACTTTTTATCATCTTGGACATATCTGGAAAGAAAAGCGTCAGAGGGTGATTTCAGAGCTGAAGAGGAAGGAACATATTTTGACCCTTTGGAGTCCCCGCCAGCAAATGAGCTGTGAGGACAAGCTACAAGGATCTGTAAGCTGCACCCATCCTGAGCTGGGAAATGTAGAGAGGAATCTGGGGGATGATAGCTAATAGAGATGATGAAAGTAGATTCAAGATGTGCTGCTGAGATAGCATGGAAATTGGAGGATACTGAGAAATGTGGATCTCTCCCATAGCCCTGAAGTGTCCCTCACAGTGCTCCCCTGCGCTCAAGGTACAAATTTAAAAGATTGCTGATATCCCTAAAAGCAGCTAGGGGATATGCAGTAATGAAGTCAGGAGACACTTAATAATATTAACAGTTTTCTGAATAGTTTGATATGTTCTTGAATACCTTATAGGAATAGGGTCTCTTTATCCATTTTAACCTTTAACTGGAGTTAAGGGAAAAAGAAAAAACAAAGATAGTCAGTGACAGCTATAAACTATCCCAGGGTACAATATAGGCTTAATCAGGTAACCACAGGACAAAAAATATAGACTGAAATACAGATCTAATCTATCCAAAACCAGGATGAGAATTAATTTCCCTTGTTGTATTAGCATAAGCATAGCTCTGTGCACTGAACTCATGTTGATGCTGGGATTCCCACCTGCAGGCACAATGAGGTTGCTGCTTCACTTTTACTTTACTGCAAAGCTATTAGCATTTCTTGACATCTTACACAACTTATATGTGCTAAGTATCAGGACTACCAAAGCAATAACCAGAATTTTTATGTCATAACCACTTGGGTTGCATAACAGCTGCAGAAGAGGAGTTTTAGCATGTAAAATGGGACTGGTCTTTTTCGCAGTCTGCAGTGTACTACCAGAAACACAGATCTAGAGACACAGCAGTGAAACACAAGTGATGAAATCACCACTGTTCACATAGCCGGTAAAAATTCATTTTGGAGGGGCTGGAACCATCTGTTACCACCTGTATAACAGCACTTCTTACAGCTTGGCAGCTAAAACAAGGCTGTAAAGGGGGATAGAAGCTGCAACTTTCTCTCTGTGTCTTTGTGGGATGGTGGGCAGTGTAGGGAAATAAAATTGTCCACATTAGTTGATACACAGGCAAAACTGTAATTTTGGAGGGGGGGTGTTTACCTTAAAAACTGTGTAAATCAGCTTGAAACTGAATTAAACAGGTGGCTGACCACCTGTACATAATGATTAATTGTGCTTACACAATAATTTATGTGAAAATGCTGTCAAATCCTGATAACACCACATCTGCTACTACTGTAGTATCGTGCAGTATATTTGTCTGTATTATTTCTTTGAAAAAACAGTTAGGCATTGCTGACTTCTCTGTCCTGTGTATTGCACTGTAGTAAATTGTTTGCACTGGGAAGTTTAGTATTCTGCCCAGTGGTATAAATTTTGAAGTATCTTATTTGTGCCTATTTGGTCATTTGAACCAAAAATTCTGTAACTTTAAATACTGTGAAGTACCTTAATTAGCTTGATAAACCATTATTTTTGTAACATTGAAATTGTAATGAAACTCCTTACTACTTATAAGCTATTAAAAATTGCTTCTCTGCATATATTTAGTCGTACTGGAGTTTTCTTTACCTTTGAGAATATTATAAACAAAATGCTTTGGTCTTTACTGAAATTCTAATTTATGCATGTAGAGTCAAAGACAAGTTCTTGCCAGACACTATTTGAAACAAGGAATACCTCCAAGTCTCTGAATTTACACTATCATAAACAGAAGTAAAATCAGATTCATAGTACCTGGCAGGTGTTTCCACCCTGTCAATGTAGCGAAATCTGCACTGAAAAGTGGAGCGTTAACCCAACACACATTAATTTTGGCTGATGTGACCACCACATCCCTCATCCAACAACTCAAGTGAAAGGCTATGAAAGAGCTCAAGAGTTCATACAGGTTTACAAAGAAGGTGAAATTCAGATCAGTTTCTTTTCATACACAGGGCCAAAGACAAATTGTTTAGGACCTGTTTCATGAGCTTTTCATCCAGCCCTCTTGTGAAAGGCTCCAGGTTCCCCTAATGGGATGTGGCAGTCCCCAGCTTATTGTCACTCCAATCATTCACTGGCAGTCTCCTGTTGTATCCAACCTCCATCACAGTGGGAGAATTCTCGTTTGGTGGCACTCTTACACAGTTTGCACAATTGGCAGGTAATATAAAATGCTTGGAAATGGCAAATCAGAAATGGAATAGAAAAAATATTAACAACCATACATTTTAATGAACTGTAAATGTTACCCATTTACATCATAACAGTATGTTCAATTCATTGTACATTTTCATAGGTGTAAATGACAAGGTCAGGTGTAGAGAACAATAAAATATTTTAATATTCGAAGTAACTAACCCAGAGACTTCCAGGCGACTACCTCTTTGACGAGCTTTTGTAAAGCACCATCTATGCATGTGTTTTCTTATTAAATAAATTTAAATCACTGTAATGTTATTTAAAGGCCTAGCAGAGACATGTATTTCCCTCACAAACCAGTTACTAAACATCCTGGTATATCTAACCAGGGAAACCAAAACAGAAATCTGTGTAACAAGAGAAGTCATATTACAAGCCAGTATGTTATTAATCTTTTTTAATTACATAAATATGAGCCTAGAATTACCTTTTTCATATTTGCATATTCTCAGTCATCTTGAAGTGAAACTGTTGGAGAATGCAGGTAAAACTAAGAAATACCATAAGAATCCCTTTCATACAATATAAAGAACCTACTTTTTTTGTATTCAGGTCTGCAGGGAATCTTACTAGTGAACACTGGAACTAACTATGGATAATTTTTTTTAATGTATGTATCAGGCATCTGTGAATGCCTGACTAATAGCATACCTTTATGTGTCTGGTTTAGTACGTGTAAATGGCATATCTATAGTAGGGAACAGTACAGTTGCACTACTCACCACATAGGTTCTGTGATAATTGCATTTTCCCATAGTTAGTCTCCATGGGCAATATAAATCTTAGGCAGGATTATCCTGGCCATGGAATAGCTTTGACTCTGTGCCATGACATTAGAGCTGAAAGGATAGCCTGGTGCCTAATGTCCACATGGCTGCCTGCCCTGAAGAGCTGGGGTCACTGAGCAACAGGGCTCTTCCCAGTACTCTGCTCTGAGCAAACCAAGGACAGACAGCTGCTGGAATAGAAATATCTGCAAATACCATAATTCTTCCCATTTTGGTTTTTCTTACCTGTTTTCTAGGCATGAGAAACTCCAGTGCAGGTGAAATTCAGTGTTTAGTTTGGATATAAAATTAAGCTCAATTCACACAATTGTTTGGCTTTCCTTTACCAAAAAAGAAAAAAAGTATTGAAAAGTATTTTCAATTTGTATGTATTTTCAATGTATTACAACAAGAAAATGTTTCTGTATCAAACTGGATGTTTTATACATTTTTCTGGAAATTCTGTTTCACTGCAGAAATCCCAAAGTCTTATCAAAGCTTTAGGTCAAGGACTTCCACAAAGGACCCAGTACAAGCATTTGCAGAAAGCTGAAGCTCAGCCTTCACAAGTGTGCAACTCATAGGTTCTTACTTTTTTCTCGAAGCTTTCCTTTTAATCTTACAATGGATCTATAAAAATTTATTCTTGTGGAGTCAAAACTGCTTTATTTAAAAAAATTATTTTTCCCTATGATACAGAATATAAACATACAGTCTTGAACTTCCAGTACAACATTGATTAAAGTTTTCTGATAGTCTGCAAACCTACAAATGGAGTTAAATAATAAGAGCATCAGTTCCTTCATATCTGAAGTTCAACCTCAACCCACGAGTTTTCAAAGTCTTCATTAATTATTTTGAAATCAAACCCGGAAGCTGAATATAAAACTATGCTTTTTGTCTATCTCACATCTTCATTTTAAAAAAATTAAACATCTCCAATAGCAGCCACATTTCTTTTCCTCAAAAACATGAAAAAAGGAGTAATTAAAGCTCTTCTGCTATACCATAAAAATTATGCAATTTTTCTATATTAGTCCCAGTCATTAATATTAGAATATCAAAAGACAGATTCTTATCAGAGTTCTTTGAGCAATGACAAAGAAAATTTAAGGTTTATGAGAATGCTGCTGTAAACTCTAGGTTATCAGAACAGGTACAGGTGTTCCCTTGACACCAGCATCCATGCAGGAAGGACACATATGTATTCACTTCATTAGAAGCAATACACTTCTCATGTAGTTGCCTGAGTGTTGCTGTGCCTGTCCTGTTATCCACAGCTCCTGTTTCTGTGTTGCTGGTTCTCTACATTCACAGTAGAACAAATAGCATAACTATCAGTTAGGAGAGCTTCAAATACCAATTGCAGAAGCAACGTTTCCAGTATGATTAAAATTCTAGCCTAACTCACATTTGATTTGGGGAGTCACTACTTCTTAACAGGATAAATGGAAAAATCCATTCAAAAAATACATAACATGTATTTTCTGTCTCCAGCTGAGCCTATATAGTCAGTTGGCCTCTGGACCCTTGGATTTTATATCTATCCCATCACTTTCCAAGCTATAATTCAC